AGAAGGCATCGACAAAAATTTTATTATGTAAATCAACATTTTAAATATCAAATTATCTAGAAGAGTGTCTACTTTATGCGACCATATGGTTAACTCATTTTTGCAAAAAATGCCATAAGCCGTGTTTTAGTTTGACGCACCCCATATGGACATAGCAATTTAGATAGCAATAGTAGCATTAATGAGAAATATGCAACAATACATTGATCAGCAAATATAAATTTAGTAAAAATAGAATATACAGCTTATGAAAATAATCAACCAAAGATTTGCACAACTAGAATATACAAGAATATACAATGAAACACAAAACACACTCAATAAGCAACCCTTAATAAGGTGGTTATTACCAAGTAACCAGCAGAATAATAAGCAAAATATAGTTGAGGTGGCAGTAGATTTGGATCTTCCACCAGGTAATTATTCCTAGGCCTCCGCATGGGCCGGGTAGGACCAGGTAATAGCAATACCCTAGCCCTACCCGTTTGTGTAAGGGCTTAATTTTTGAGCCCTTACCCTACCCTAGGACCAAAAATTTAATACCCTAGCCCAGCCTGTTGGCCCACAGGTACCCGTGAACTGCCCATGGGCCCAAGTTTACTATATCCAAAATTACAAATATGGCTTGTAATAAAAATAAAAACCGCCTGGTATTAAGTTTATTTGCCGATAATAAATATGACGATAAATGCTGGCTAGCCAAAGGTGCTGGAATACATTGTGAATAATTTTAGCTAAGTAATTCGAACTGAAACGATGATATGCTCCCAGAAAATTAGCAATTGAGATTGTGCCAGATATCATCGTAACAGTAGAACGAGCGAGAAGCAGCACCAACCAGTGGTTTCCCGCCTACTCAAAGTAGGCTGGCCGTTAAATAAGAAAATAGCAGAATCAGGAGACTATCATCTGTGGTGGGAAGGGCTGGGTCAAGAAACTTGTTTAAGATTATTGAGTTGAGTGTCGAAAGTAACCTTTTTCGTCATTCTTTATATATCAATTACGGTTGGTGGCTTTTTGATTACGTATCTTTGCTTATTAATTATCTTGTTATTAATTCATGTGATTTGACGTTGATTGATCAGGTGCAAAGGTTTTAGCACGTGGTGTGTGATCCCTAACCAGTACTACCCCCTTCCTTTTCGATCTTTTTAAATATTTATTTTCAACCCATTTTATATGAACTTTGCTAGAGACAGCACGGTATTTAATAAACTATATTGATATAGAATTTACAATAGCTTTTAAGCGTTGAAGTTTTCATTTGATCTATTTTAGCAACAAACGCCACTACAATTATTAAATATCCAAGTAAATCTCAACATCTACTACGTATTGATTTTTATCTACATAAAATGCTATAGGAATAGTTAAATTGCATAATAATTATTGTTGCGCATTATTTCGACCACTAGAAAGTCGCATTATGTAGTATTTAAGAACACCTTAATCTGAGAATATGGTAATTATTATCTTACATTTAGTTTTTAAGTATAACAGTTATTTATTATTTGGATGAAATGCTATATGTACATTTAAAACTACTTAAAACCCTGCAACAAAGCTATGGGTTATGAGCTAGTAATCACTATTAATATAATTTTAGAAGACAAATATATATTTTATGCATCGCTTCAATTTTATTCTTATTGTGCCTTTTTTTTTTTTTTTTTTAATTACATAATAAATGCAGCATTTAGTTATTACTGACAATTTATTGAAGCGAAAAAACTTATATACACAGTTCATTTAACATCTTATTTAATATTAATATGCATTTTTCTAATAAAATATCAAATGAATTGTGTAAATAAAAAATATTCGTATACTAATAAAATTGTGCTAAGACAAGAAATAACATGAGTATTTCAAAAAAATTTAAATCCCATCCCAATAGTAATCTATAAAAAAATGCCAGTAACAAAAGAATAATAATTAATTAGTGCAATTGAATATCTATATATAACATAAAAGACAAGTTTATTATTATATTATCTTTACATTTAACCAGATTATAAGTTCCATTCAAACTTTGTTGCTGCCTCTAACCAATTTTGCTAGCACATTAATGCCATTATTGTGTCTGGATCTAATAAAGTATAAATATTATCAATGATACACCCTGCATAGCTAAACATTTGTTCAGATGCCATGCTGGTAGATGGTATTATGAGAAAGTCTTGAGCCATGGTTGACAAAGTTGGAAAGTGGTCTTTATTAAGTTTCCACCATTCAAGAACATTTGTAGTTTTAGTTGCAATTTGTTCATCTAAATATTGATTAACCTCATAAAGTATATTATTTTCACTAGCCCGGG